GGAGCAGAGATCCAGCTCTGAAACTGCTACGATTCTTTGTTGAGCTGATGTGGGAGGAGGCTTTGAGGTTGGCAATGAGAGGAAGCGATCCAAGGGCTCGACCTGGCAGCTGAGTCTCGGGAGGCTGACTGAAATGCTGTAATATGCTCACTGGAAGTCAGGTATCAGGGCTCTGTTGGCTCCTCAACTGCACTCCTCTGCAGAGGAGCAGCGCTGATGCCAACCACCAAACAACTGGCAGCAGAAGCATGAAGCCAGCATGTGGCTGTGATTACAGAGAGAGCACAAGGTCTGGGGGCTAAACAACAGGGGATATACTTCATTGGCTGGAGGTCCTCAGCTGATGCCACCCATAGATGTTTACTGTGGCTCCCCCAGGCAAAGGCCTTCAAGGGGCACCTGAGCTAAAGCGCATCATTAAATGCCAGCAGGATTTCCACCATCCTGCGTAGTGATGTGAGCTTGTAGCTGCAGATTGTGGAGTTTCTGCAAAGTCACCTTTAGTCTAGATTATCTTTGTCACTGTCAGTCAGCTTAGTTGCTCACATTTGTGTGGAGAGTCTTTACCCAATGAAAACTAGACAAACAGCACACTTGTTTTCATATTTGTCTGCTGAGTTTGCAGCAGTAACATTTTCTGCGCATCCTTTTGTGGCCATGGCCTTCCTGTGATATATCCTGTTTCTTGGTTAATCCCCCTGCTTGTGGCAGCTGCCGGTTTTGCTCCAAACATCCACTCCAGCACAAATGTCATTGATGCAAAAGTCAGATCTGAGCAGCGTCCAACAATTTAAAGGTGAAAACTGAAGTGCACAGTTCCAGCTTGTGTTTGTGCATCACTGCATCACGTTCAGAGTCTCTGATGTAGTTTTCAGGTATGTTGTGGGTCTCTTATTATCTGTTGGTGGTAAGAATTGATTGATTCTTGATTCTTGTCTCGGTCACTGCTGTGCTGGATCACTTTCACTTTACTGGTGGATGTTACCACGGTTACTGTGGCTACAACAACAATGGTCCTCTCTGCTTCTCTTCACAGTAAAAGTGCAACTGAAATAATCTTTGTAGCCAAAACAGAAAAACACTCTGAGCTGCTGCCTCGTTCACAGGAGATCGCCCCGGCAGCTGTGCACGTTGGATTTCGCCTTTGTAACGGCCTTATGAAGCAGCTTCTCACCGTTTCAGGGTAACAGGATAAAAAATACAGCAAGAAAAGCTACAAATGATTTTCTCATTTCACCTGAAACATTCTGCAATCAAAATCTACCCATTGTTACGGGAAACTGTCGTCAACATTAATATGGGTTTTTGAATGTACACTTTAATATTTACATTTTCTAAAAGGCTCCTCGCTTTACTCTGCACATTCACTTTAAAAGGGTTTTCTAAGTTATCTTAGATTAGACATTAAATTAACAAATGATTTTGAATACGGCTTCTGGAAAAGTCGGCATAAGAGGTTCAGACTGACAGCTGTCAGAGGTCGAGGCAGAAGAGGCTCAGATATTAGAGCAAGAAGGGTTAGGCCAGGGGTGTCGAACTCCAGGCCTCGAGGGCCGGTGTCCTGCAGGTTTTAGATCTCACCCTGGTCAACACACCTGATTCAAATGATCAGTTCATTCCCAGGCCTCTGGAGAACTTCAAGACATGTTGAGGAGGTCATTTAGCCTTTAAATCAGCTGTGATGGATCAAGGACACATCTAAAACCTGCAGGACACCGGCCCTCGAGGCCTGGAGTTCGACACCCCTGGGTTAGGCTTTATCATTCACTCACTGCACACATAACGTGCAAAATATTTACCATTAGTAAAAGTACATTATCATGCACCTCTCTGTTATCATTTCTTTAACCTCCTAGGACCTGCGTCCACATGTGGACGTCACATTTTGGGTTATTTAGACCAAAATACTCAATTTTGCTCAACAAGGGCCTGATATCCACTTACGAGGACATTAAACTGCTACTGTTCTATCAAAATTTTAAACTAATATCCTCATATGTGGCTCTAATTTTTCTTAAAAACAAAAATAAGGTAAATAAATAATCTGGTAATTGTTTGTTTTTACATTCATCGAGTCCCAATCAGCCCAAATATCAAAGAGAAATTAGGAGGTTAAACCCAACTTAAATGATGTTAAACCACCAAAACAGGTGATGACATTAAAACAGTAATTAGATCACCATGTTTTTGAACATGTGCAACAAACCACAGGGTGGTGCTGATTCCTGAAGCCAGCCCAAGTCAGCTGGAACTGAAAACCTGAAGAATTCACTCTCAGCAGCTGAAGTTCACGTGTCAAATGACACATTTCTGAGAGCTACAGTACGTGATCGAAGCTGCTGAAACGAAAAGTTTCACTAACTGTAAATGAAGCACGCACAGAGCTTTGGTACTCACGCTGCAGCAGGTAGTACATCGTGCCGATGCCTCCACCCGTCAGCACGGTGGTGAAGATGGTGAGCTGCTGCAGGTGACTGTTGGAAACCCTCATGCTCGCTTTCTCTCCTGAAAGTAATGACGATGATGTGGTCAGTGTACAGACAGCATCTGTGTTTTAATAAGGAAGCATTCATGATTTACCGTGAACTCTGTGGTGACTACAGGACAACCTGAACGTTTCTGAGGCTTCAGTCTGAAACATTTCCTATTTTCTGATGTTTTGTCATTTTTAATAGCGAAACATAAGGTGACCCACTGACCCCCCCTCCTACACACAGACAGTTGAACAAGTACTATTAATATCACCGCCTACGTCCATGAGACAGTTCAGCTAATGGTGCTAAAGGTTGCTAACACAGGCAAAGACACATACATGCACACTCCACATCCAAATAACTGAATGCATTCAAGTCTGGTTCATGCTTTGATTTTTCCCTTATTTTCAGTCACATGTATCCTGTGTTTATGGTGGATGCTAACATGAACATGTCCAAGCCTAGCACAGGTCTATACGAGCACAGGGATGTGTGCTTAGCCTCCTATATTCCCTGTTCACACACGACTGTGGGGCTAAACACGAGTCCAACACCATCATTAAGTTTGCAGATGACACAACCATCATAGGCCTCATCACAGACAACGATGAGACGCCTACAGAGAGGAGGTGATGGTGCTGTACGAGTGTTGCCTGGAAACAACCCGTCTCTCTAAAACTAGAGAGATAATAGTGGACTACCGGAAACGACCAGTCGGGGAGCACCAGCCCATCCACATCAACGGTGTCAAGGTCGAAAGGGTCAGCAGCTTCAAGTTCCTTAGAGTCAACATCACTGAGGACTTCTCCTGGACCTTCACACAGACGCTGCTATCAGGAAAGCTCGCCAGCAGCTCTACTTCCTGAGGAGGCTGAGGA